AGTTTTCAAATTTTTAAGAACACATCACATGCTCTTTGGATTGACAGATAATTTAACTGCCTTTACTCTTGTTTACTGATGTCAAAAGCAAAGCATTTCCGCCAGGCTGGTTAGTCAAAGAGAATATTAAAATGACCCATGGACGAAGCACTTGCATTTTAAGAACATTATTATTTCTACATAAAAATTAAATGGAAGAAATGCTAAAGCAGAAGTAGACCATGCTGAAATATCCGTTAGGTAGACAGGCTACTTTTAGACACCGTACTTGATTCCCTTTAGTTCTAAGAACATGTTATGTTAAAGGTAGCTTCATGAAACACTTTCAAAATTCCTTTGAATTAGGAAATTGGGTGGAGTATCCATTGATAAATTCACAATTGTCAAGTTCTAAAAACATCTCCAGGAAGGCAAAGAAGTCCTCTCCTTCCCATCACATATTCAGATGTTAAGACTAGAAACTCATCTATTCTTTCATTCAACAAACATTCCTGAGATGTCTAGTAAAGGCCAGGCACTGCCATGTGAAGGGCAAACCACATGCCTGGGGCAAAGTCCTCTTTAATTAACCCACAAGCACTAAGATAACATAATGATCTCAACTGTTGTCATGAACATCAGGTTGAAACAGGGTGAATTCAACATAGATTTATCTTGGCTACATGTGATTCAAGATATGGTAGATTTAAATCCAGTGTCCATCCATAGTAGGTTATTGCTTTTAGGAAGCTTTATCAAAAATTTATGTTTTACATTTATAGGTACTTCCATTTCCAAGTACAAGGATTGCGGCAGTATGTCATTGGAGATGCCAAGTTACTATGTGAATATTATTGGCACTCACTAACATTGACAACAATATATCAATAAATGCCTATATGGGAAGTTAGAGCATGGGATGTTCAACCTATCTTTTGTGACATACTTACAAAGAACTAAGTAATATTTACCTTCAAAAAGTATTAGTATAAAAGTGCACGGGCAATTAAAGTACCTAAAAGAAAGTAATTATATAGATAAAATTAAAAAGTAGTCTACAATGTGGGCCATGGAAACATAAATCAACATTGAAATGTAATGGGAATGCTCAAATAGTCTACAAATTAAGCATAGAAAAATAATCAGATTTCTAAAAAAAAATTCATTTATTGGCTTTATTAGTAGGGAAAACATGACTTATAAAATGAAATAAAGAGGGAGCCTTCCTAAAACTTCAATGGCTTACAAAATTAAGGGAAAAGAGTCAGAGTGTTGAAGTACAACATTCATTTCCTGTGTGTTTAAAGTGAAATACGATCATAAAAATGAAGAATAAATCATATTTAAGTAAAGAAAAAGAAATCAAATCAGCAAATACGTTATTGAAAACATAATGGAAGAAGCATTTATTTTTATTTTATATATTTTTTGAGATAGAGCCTCAAGCTGTCCCCTGGGTAGAGTGCTGTGGCATCACAGCTCACAGCAACTTCCTACTCCTGAGCTCAAGTGAGTCTCCTGCCTCAGCCTCCCAAGCTGCTGGGACCACAGGTGCCCACCACAACGCCCGGCTATTTTTTTGGTTGCAGCCGTCATTGTTGTTTTGGTGGGCCTGGACTAGATTCGAACCTGCCACCTTAGGTGTATGTGGCTGGTGCCTGAGCTACAGGCGCCGAGCCTGGAAGAAGCATTTTAAGTGGATATAATATTTGAAGAAATCCTCCAAATACAACATTTTACTATTACCAAGAATATTTTATATATCATTAGGGTATGTCCAAAACGTCCTCTTAAGCCAGGTAAATAATAATCTATAGAATGTAAAAGTAAACAGCTGTTGTAACAATACCACAAAACTCCACAATCTTCAGGACTGAAAGCCCCAAAATGGACACCACTAATCTCAAAAAATATCAGTCCTTAAGAATGTTGTTTCTATTTTCCTTTTGGACTGTAATATTGTAATACTGTAATATTCCTAAGGATCTCAACACTGAGGTATTTATTCCACAAAACACTACAGAGATACAATTGGCACCTGAGCTTTTATAATTAAGCCACAGAGATGGGGCTGGGTAAAGAGCGCCCAGCCTGCCGACAGAGCCTAGATTTCTGTAACAGGCAACGCTAATGCTACTTTCCTTTCAATCTCTTTATAATAATGCAGTGTGGTGTTTAAGAACATGAACTTAGATTTGGCTTCAAGTATATTTACGAACCAGTTGTGTGCATGTGCCCAAGTAAATTTCCTAAGCTTAAGCCTCTTCATCAGTAAAAAATGAGAATTTAGAAGAGACTCCGGCTGTGAAGATGCTACAAGGATGACGTAGAGAGTCTACGCTGGAAACTTAGCACAGTGCCTGACACATAGATCTCAAGAGGGGTTTAACAGAAGAGGGGGGTTAACACAAGTATTACTACCATAAGCACACCTAAGGATTTCAGGCAAGAAGACTTTAGATTGGTATGATCTGAATTCATGTATATATATGTATACATTAATACATATAGGAAAGTGCTTGATGTCAATTATAGAAACATCTGTTACAAGTTGAGTTTGTTAGGACACCCTTTTAATTATAATAAGGAAGTTCCGTCTTACCTTGTCATTTACTACACTCTTCCCATCCCAAGCCCATCCTCTTTTGGTGAAGTAATTTACAGTTGCAAATTCAATGAGGGCCGAGAACACAAAAGCATAGCACACAGCGATGAACCAGTCCATGGCAGTCGCATAAGCCACTTTGGGGAGCGAGTTCCGAGCACTGATGCTTAGAGTGGTCATTGTGAGAACAGTTGTCACTCCTGAAAAACAGAAGGTTGGAAATGAAAACATCAGTAAGTATTAGCAAGACAGCAAGGGAAAGAGATTATCCCCCCACCCCAAATGCTGGCTTCAGTAGCACTTTTATCGACTAAAAACCAAAAGAAATGGAAAGATTTTATTCTGTTTTATGGCTGAGTAGTATTCCACAGGGGTGTGTGTGTATACACCATGTTTTCTTTTTTTTTTTTTTATTAAGTCATTTGTACATAGATCATAAATACATTTATGCTATTATGGGATTCAATGTGTTGATTATTTGTACAAATTGGAGTGCTTACATCCTACTAATCAACATAGCCTTCACCTCATTTACTCAATTACAGATTAAGACCTCTGAGCTCTACACCTGATAGATCCAACTTACATGGATGGAGCTGGAAAATATTCTTCTTAATAAAGTATCTCAGGAATGGAGAAAAAAATATCCAATGTTCTCAGCACTACTGTGAAACCAATTTACAATCACTCACACAATTGTATGATAAATGAAACCGTATTTTCTTCATTCAGCCATCCGTTAGGTTGATTCCCTATCTCTGCTTTTGTGAATTATGCTGCAGTAAACACACAAGTGCAGGGGTCTTTTCAATAAAGTGACTTCTTTTCCTTTGGGTAGATACGCAGTAATGGGATTCCTGGATCAAACCATGTATCTACCCTTAGTTCCTTGAGAAATCTTCCTACTTTTTTCCATAGCAGTCATACTCATCTGTATTCCCACCAAGAGCATGTGAACTTTCCTGTTTTAACACATCCTCACCAACATACACTGTTTTTTGATGGTAAACAATGGTGACTCTTTGGTGTAAGAATTTCGATAATTCATTTAGGGTTTGTTTGCTGGTTTATTTTTGCTGTGGATCCTAAGAATTTTATTGTTAAAATGACGTGTCTT